CTTGTTAGAAGTTATGATATGCAATTCATAGAAGACCAAACCATTGATGTTATTAACAAGGTGGAAAAGACTACACCCGAGAAAGATAGTAATTTGACTGAAGGTAATCCGATGTGGTTGCTTGTTCATAACTTAGATAATGTTAAGATTGATATTTAGAATGATGAGCAACATGGTGATGTTGATGATCAAAAGGTTGGAGATGGATTAGAGATTTTGATTGATGATGTATTGTTCAAGAAGAACATGATATGGTACATGATGATGATCTTGATGATGCAATTAAATTACTACAAGTCCTTCCTAAGAGGTCCAGCAGGCTGAGACAACTGTCTTCTAGGTATTCTTTTGATGAGTATGTGACCTTAACTGATGGTGGAGAACTCGAGTGTTTTGAAGAGGCTTTGGAAAGTGAAGAAAAGCTACAATGGCTGGATGCAATACAAGATGAGATGAAATCATTGTTTGATAATCACACTTATGATTTAGTAAAGTTGCTTAAGAGCAAAAGGCCTTAAAGAACAGGTAGATTTTCAAGGTGAAGCAAGAAAATAATTCTACATCTTCAAGGTACAATGCTAGATTAGTGGTAAAAGACTTTAGACAGAGAAATGATGTTGATTTCAATGAGATTTTCTCACCTGTAGTGATGTCATCCATTAAAACTGTTCTAAGTTTAACTGCTACTCTTGATTTGGAGGTTGAACAAATGGATGTGAAGACAATTCTCCTTCATAGTAATTTGGAGGAAGAGATTTACATGAAGCAACCTGATAGTTTTCTTGTTGAAAGCAAGGAAGACTATGTGTGTAAGCTAAGAAAGAGTCTATATGGTTTAAAGCAAGCTCCAATACCATAGACAATGGTATAAGAAGTTTGAATCTTTTATATGTGATGAATCCACATTTTGTTAATATTTTAGTTATCTTTTCGGTAGATTTTTAATAGAAAAATGAAGTTAGAAAATGTAGTTACCATAAAAATGTCATTTATGTTATTAATTTTAATTTTTCTAATTTAGTTAAATTCACATAGTTTGATAATCATCTTTTGTAAATATGATGATTAGAATAAATGTGCAAAAAATTTTAGGCAATCATCCTTGGAATTTGAGCCTTCAAGAGAAAACTGGGTAGAAATAATCATTTCCAACACCTAAAGTAACAATTTAAGCAAGCATTCTCGAAATGCCAGCTAAAAGTAAACACTTCCAGCATTCATACTAAATACTCTGGAACCACTTCCAAGAAGTGAAGTTGTGTGTAATCACTCCCAACGTTCATAGTGATTACGCGCAGATTTATTCTGCTGATGAGGCTGCGCATGGTTCCTCCCAGCATCCATAGTGCACGTAATCACTCTCATCACTCAAAGTAATCATGTTAGATATAAGGCAATGCAATGTGACCTGCGCGTAATCACTTCCACCATTCAAAGTGATTACGCTAGAAAAGCATTAATTCTAAATAGATTCCCAATTAGAAGATAGGGACCTTTTTTTGCCATTTTTTACTTTTTCCATTTTTACACACTTTCAGAGAATAAGATTAAAAGCTCTGGGTGACTACCAAGAGCTCACCTTTAGGGTTCTTTCTCCTTTTCTTCCCCTTTTACTCTATGTTTTTAGTTTGTTGTACTTTATTTGATTGTAATATTGAATCCAAACCTTATGGAAGGCTAATTTTTGGAGGTTAATTCCTAGTAAGTTCATAATGGCTCTTGAAATCTGGTTTGATTGTTAATATGAAATTCTTTCTTATGGATTTTATTTCCTTAATTTCTTGATAACTGAATTAGGATATGAATAGAGATTGTTGTTTAATTAATCTAAATTCTTTTCTTAATAAGGGTTTTATAATTCAGTTTGCTTAATCCTGAGCTGGGTTCTAAGTTTTCTTAATTTTAAGAACTAGGAATTAGAGCTTATGCAATTTGCTTAATCTTGTGTGAGAAATTAGGGTTAATTGACGCTTGTTCCAATTAACTAAATTCTATGAAGGGATTAGTAACTAATTCTTGATAAATGATTGAACCAATATGAATAAGTTAAGGATTAATCCACTTTGTTAATTGATTTTCTCAAATTCGAATTTCCACTTAAATGATTGATGACCTAAAAACTAAACAAACCCCATTTTGTTTTCTAAAGTAGATGCATACTACATGTTTTACGTTTAGTCTCTTAACCAATGTTCACAAGAGGACAACCTAAGTTAACTTAGCCTAGTATTACATTTAAATCACTCATATTTTGATAAGGATAGTGATAATATTTTATCAATGTGTGACCAAGGCTATAAAAGAACTACTTCTAGCCATTGTGTCTTTGTTAGAAAGTTTCTTGATGATGAATTCATTATCTTGTTGTTTTATGTTGATGACATGCTTATTATTGGGAAAAATGTTTCCAAGATTGATAGGTTAAAGAAGCAACTAGGCGAGTCATTTGTCATAAAAGACATAGGAGCTACTAAAAAGATTCTTGGTATAAGTATCATGTGTGATAGAAAAGAGAAGAAGCTTTGGCTATCACAAGAGCACTGCGTTAAGAAGGTATTGCAGAGATTCCAAATGGAAAATGTTAAAACAGTGAGCATTCCTCTTACGACTCATTTTAAACTGAGTGTTAAACAAAGTCTTTCAGATAAATCTAAGAAGATAAATATGAGGAGAGTTTCTTGTGCATCTACAGTAGACAGTTTGATGTATACAATGGTATGTACAAGACCAGATATTGCATATGTTGTTGTACATTCAATCATTTTTTGTCGAATCCAAGTAGAGATCATTGGAATGCTGTGAAATGAATTTTGAGATATCTTTGTAGTACTAGTGATTTGAGACTTTGTTTTAGAGGTGATAAGCCTACTTTGGTGGGTTACTCAAACTTATATATGGCTGAAGATATTAATTCCAGAAAATTCACTTCAGGTTATTTGATTAAGTTTGTAGAGGGAGCTGTGGTTTGGCAATCAAGGCTGCAGAAGTGTGTAGCATTGTCTACTATAGAGGCAGAGTTCATTGCCATTACTAAAGCATGCAAGGAGTTGCTATGGTTGAAGAAATTTTTGCAAGAGCTTGATTTTGTGCAAGAAAACTATCCATTACTTGTGGACAGTTAGAATGTTATCCATCTTGGTAAAAATCCAACTTTCCATTCTAGATCTAAACATATCGATGTGAGGTATCATTGGATATGTGATGCCTTAGATGCTAAGTTGTTGGAATTAGATAAAATCCATACTGATGATAATGTTGTTGATATGATGACTAAGGCACTACTAAGAGGGAAGCTTGAAGCTTGTTATGAGATCATCGGATTGGCGGTCACCTCAACATAGTTGTGAGGGGGGAGATGTGTTGAGTTAGGCTCCCAACTATGTATCCAAAAAGCTCAAACTTGTCAAACCTATTTTGTCTCACTTAACCCAAGTGGAGGGGTCTTCTAAGTCAAGAGAGAGTGTTAATTTTGCAACTTTAGGGAAGAGAAAGAGAGCAGAAAAATTGTGATATCAGCTTCAGTAAAATTGTGATTCCTACTTTGTTTACCATTGGATCAGGTTGAAAATTGGACAATAGGTTTATGACACAACATTATTTGTTTTGACTGTTTGGATCATGGATTGGTAGTCTGTGGTTGAAAAAAATCAATTTCACATAGTTACTTTATTTTTAGGACTCTTCTTCTTTGTTCTTCAAAATTAGAACTTTATTACTTTGATGTATTGGCTTATTGTCAGCACATACATATTTGTGCATTTGATTAAACTCTCTTGTACCTCTTATTTGATCGTAGTGAAGCTGATTGACTTGCTCGTGAGTTTTTACTTCTCAGATTGAGAATTTTCACGTTAGAAATATTTGTGTCTCTCTATGATTACTATTGTCATTTTTGTTGTTGTTGCTCGTCATTAATTCTTTCAAGTTGAAAAAATTATTTCTACTATGTACTTTGGTACTTTTGGTTGTTGTGTTGTTGTTTTCTCTATCAAGACTCTAACCTATTGGAATACACCCCTCTGAATTGATGTCTTCTTGATATTTTTCTTGTTTTGAAACTTAGGACTATTTGGGGGAAAGGATTTGAGAGTTATAGTACTTTTTGTTCATTTTAAATTGTATGATAGTATCCTCCCTGAAATGTAGTAAATGTATAGTACTTTTTTACTTTCTTTTGACACCTGATGATGTATGTGAATAGTTCCTATACTGTTTAACTAACTTGACTTAGATATTACTTGATGATTTTGTTAGTGTGTGAAATATTTTAGAGATTTAATGTATAAAACTTTATTTATTGTGAGGTGAATGACACATGTATAAAAAGTACATAAATGTATTTATATGAGATGTAATTTTATAGAAATTTTTTAATTAATTTAATAAGTTTAAATTAGTTTAGGTTTTGCATGTTAACTCTCTCTTTTAAAATGTGTGTTACAAAGAAATATTATATTTGTATGTAAATGTTTATTGTGCGTTGAGTCTAAAATACTAGAATGACACAAAATAATGTCATACACTAATAATTTAGTATTTATATCACCTTTATTAATATAAAAATATTGTTAATTTTATTTTCAAATAATATATTATACTTATAGATCATGTTATTCATATAAAATTTTGATAAATATTATCAATATATAAAAAATTGTATGATATATAATATTGTAGGTTTATAATATTTTTATTGATATTTTAATTTTTATTAAATAAAGTTATATCAACAAAAATAATTATATTGACTAACGATATTATTAATTAATAAATGTTATGTTTAATTACAATAGACATTAGAATAAAACAATTTAATACAAATGCGAAATAAAACATAATATGTAGTAAGATATTTATGAATATATATTATCTAAGAAAAGTTAAAAAAGAAAGTAAAGCTGATTGAAAGTTAACTTGATATACAGATTAAAATATAAAGATGCATAAAAAGGGCCATTCAACATGTGAGGACATCTTTTGCTGAAATCTAGTCTAATCAATCAGTGCTGGATGATGCACTCCAATTTGGTTTCCTCTCTTGCTTGTTCAGCTTCTATGCTTTCTTCCTTTACACTCTCCTTGTTCTTCCCCCATAGGACACTGTAGAGTCCAACTACCAGTAAAATAGTGCCACCAACACTGCCATAAAGCAATGAACCTCGTTATTTTGGTGTTCATATACACAACACTAACAGATTTTCGTATCTTTTTCATCACAAGTCACAAAAGCGTGTGTAGGTCATTCGAAATATCGTCTTACATCTGCCTTCTAGAAGCCATGCACTGTCATTTGTTATTATATCCATCTTTAAAAGGTTGAGTTTGAGATCAATTTTTGAATATTTATATATAAAAACAATGCTATATTTCCTTACTATATCTTCTTGTTACTTATTTTAGTACTTTATAAAAAAATTTAAATAAAAACAAGTATATTTAATATTTAATTTGTTTTTTTAAATATCAAATTAATTCTCTAAAACTTAATAAAAAGTATTACTAAGATGGTTCTCCAAAGATTTTGGGAACTAAATTAGTTTTTAAAAAATTAAATAATTTAAAATAATACATCATCAGATTTTTCCTTCAAAAATTTAAAATAACATCATATATTAGTCCTTAAAAGGAGTAGAGAGGTGAAAAAGTAATTTAACTTATTAATATTAAAATTTGAAAAAATATCTAAATCTTTTTCGAATTAATTTAGTCACAAAAATTTTAAAAAAAATGATGATTCTTTTGTATACATTTTCAAAAAACTATATTAAAAGTTTTCTCTTTTTATTACTAATAAATAAAATTAAATTAGTCTTATGCAAAATTAAAATAGTTAAAATAATTTATTTGACATTTAATGATTGTTTTGAAATCGGAAGAATAGAATGTGAACCTTCCCAAGTAAAGTGTTTCTTTCCACAAAAGGGCTGAGAATATTGCTGTGATTATAAGAGCTAGAGGGGTGAACATTGCTGTGAAAACTGGGCCTTTGGCCTCTATAGTGCAGACTTGCAGCCAATAACAAACGCCTGTTACAATTACACCCTGCAACCATAACAAACGAATATATGTGTCGAATTTAGAACATAATCATATCATTATTATTGTTAAGATACATGTTAACTAAGACTTAATTCTATACTTAATGCTGAAATGTAATTTTGGTTGTGACTTATATGCTGAAACAAGAATTGTTGTAATTGAAGTGTGGTCCATTTAGATCTTATATGTCAACGGTGTTCTCATATGATGTGAAATGGGCATCAATTTCTGGTCATAATGACTATAGGATGATTAAAAATAGTTGGTTGTGAATATGACATTTCCTTATCCCATAGAAGAGAAATGGAGCCACATTTGGACAAGAAAGACTTCCACTACGTTCTATTTCAAAAAGATGTGGCACTTGGAAATACGTTGAGAGGAATAAGAAGACCAGTCCAAAATTCCATGATTATCATGGTCTACGCAAAAGATCAATATCAATTTCTTACAAACAAGTAAATTTCTAGAAAGAAACATATCTTCTTCTTCTTCTTCTTTTTATCGTACCTAAAAAGAACATGAATCTTTCAATTATTTTAGGATATCAAGTTTTCCTTGACCAAGTATTAAAATCTTAACTGTGGTTTTTTACGTCTTTTCTTTATATTTATATAAAATGTTACAATAACTAATAGAAAAAAAAAGTATCTTAATTGCTTTCACCTTAATTTTACACTTTCTTTTTCTTTGTAACATTATTTATCATATCAATTTTTTCGTCGTATTTATCTCTTTCTCTAAAGGTATGCAAGAAGAAGTTGTACTAAGAGAAAAAAAAACAAATTTTTGTATAAAGGTAGTTGATGTGAAACATAGTATTCTGAAAATTTTGATATTCTTTAAGGACAGTAGAGGTACATATTTTACAAATTTTGGACTTAATTTTACATGTTCAATAATCTCTAGGATTTAGATTTCTTCACATTTTAATATTTGTAACTTTTAATAAATCTTACTATTTACGATTTCTGTTCAGGTTATGCATGTAAATGTTGGTTTCTAAACATACACAGTAGGCCACAGAAAGAAGATGAATATCCCATCCAAGCTTCCATGCTGAAGGATTATTCCTGTCCATTGCAGCAGCCAAAACAGCAGACTGCATGAAGCTAAAGAAGCATTGTAGAGTAGTGAGGCGAAATTTTGCTGGGTATTGCTTTACCACAAATCCCTAAGAACGGTATATATATAGATTAGTGAAAATTTGAGATGAAGCTAAAGTTTATGATAACTCTTTTCTAACTGTACTTCAAAAAGTAAGAGAAAGATAGAAGTATAAAATAAAATGACATGATAAAGTGAAGAAAAAAATATATAAAAAGTATGTTTATAGATTATATAACTAAAATGAAAATCGTATCATTCATGTTATACTTCATTATACCTGCAAGATAAGCCACAAGGACCATGAAGTGTTTGCCAAGAGCATCATAAGAGAGCCTCTAATGTTATCACCTTTGGAGTGAACCGTTAATGGGTGAGAACTATGGTTCGGATTTTCTGGATACCATTTCATATAACCCAAGGATGGTCCTTTGACTAAAGCAAATGTAATTGCCCCAGAAAGGCTTAGAATAGATCCCAAAATCTTGGCCACCCCATGCATATGTTTTATGGAAATGCTTTCCACCCTGAAATTTCCAGAAAAAATTTTCAAAATCAAAACTAGGATTTCTCTTGGTCTTCACTCTGCTTCAGATAAATGGTATGGTTAACTTCCAATTTTACCTGATTAAAATAGCCATGATAAAAGTAATGGCAGGAACAGTGTTTGAGCTGGCTGCAGCAAATGTTGCAGAGGTGTAGTTGATTGCAACATAGTAAAGGTTTGAGCTTGCTGTTAACCTATACCACATCAAGGTACATACCCAAAAAAGTTTGGATAATATGTCACTATCAAGGAGTATAGTTTATAATTTTAACTTAAAATCTTTGTATTTTCAATATTAAATAAGTAATGGGGTCAAGAAAGAGACGTCCATACCCAACCAGGGAAACTAGAAACAATTTGCACAATAAGTTGCATGACAAAGGGGCTGCTTGCTTACTGAAAAATTAAGTGCAAAATTAACAAACAAATTAGTATATTTGTTAACCCTAAGGATTTAGTGATTAAGGGGAGGGTGAGATGATAGAAGAACACTTGAGAAAACCTGTCAAAGAGAGCAAAAGGAGATAAGGCAATTGATGCAAAGGCTTGTCTATAAACAACAAACACATAAGGACTCATTCCTTTGGAAATTGCAGCTTTAGATAACAAAGCCATTCCTGAATACACAAACTGAATAAACAGCATTGCAACATAAGGTTTATTTTTCTCCACCACCGCCACATAGCCTAACAATTTCTTCATTTTTGTGCTTACCACCTTGCAAACTCTGAATGATCTCCAAACAAGGAAACTTGCCCAATATATAGAGAGATTTTGAACTCTATGGTATATTAGCTTTATGCTTTTCTTTGTTGGCATTGTGCATTACATATCAAGACATGGAAGAAATGGCACCAATTAGGCCCAATCAATGAAAAAGTTAAATCAATAGGCACTAATATCATTTTCAGTAGAAGGGTAACTATAAAAGGTTAAATGGCGCATGCTAAGGTTGTACCTTTGTATACCAAAGGCAACAACACGATTACTGTGTTGGAGGACAAATTGTGATGTAATTATCTTAACCAAATAACAGATTTAAGAGGAAGCTTTTTGCAAGCACTAAAATACTTAGTGCATTGAATCAATCATTCATCGTTACGAGTACTTTTATAACTTGGTTTAGCTTTAACATGGCCCCCAAACCGATGTTCTTTGAACTTGATGCATCAACTAACCCACAATGTTTTGTAAGCAGAAAATAGCTATTGTTAAAGAGGCTTTAATGTGAGGAATAAACTGTTCCAAATGTAGAACTTACTGATTTTTTTAAGTTGGATAATATGAAAATTTAAACATTTGCTTCTTGGAAATAAGACTTTTTTTATGTTAATTCTTATAAAAAAATATATATGTTTTTAGTCGATAAAAATTATTCATTTTAATCTCTAACATCAGATTAACTAAAATTATATTATTATTTTATTAAATATAAGAACTAAATAATTAATTTATGAAAAGGTAAAATGTGTCTAATATAAATAATTATTGTCTGTTTAGAAAATTTTTATTATTTAAAATCTATGACATAAAATTCCATATATAGTGTATTACATTAAACTAAAATATATGTAGGAGTGAAACTATTTTCATAAAGTCAAATAAATTTTTTATTAATTTTTTCAAATTCATTTTAAAGCAAAAAAATTATCATATATTGAGTGATAAAAATATTAAATCATTAATCTCATCAGTAAATTGAGCGCTATTTAGCACGAAATGGCACCATTATTTAAATAATGCAAAATTACGACAATCTGGTGTAAATTATGTCAATATTTACTGACGAGATCTGTTGGAAATTATGTCGATAATTACCGATGAGCTTAGCTATCCATCTTCTTTTTTTCCGGTATCTAACGAATTGCTAATAGTGCCAAATCAGGCATAATTTTGACTATTTAAAAAAATAACTTTTATGGTTCCAAGTAAAGAAAAAACAAATAGAGAACCATATTTTTTATTTTTAAAAAAGAGAATTTTTTTCTTTAAAAAAATTAACTGACTAAAATTATACATAGGTATGAATTTGTATTAAATTACACTTTATTTTGACAATTTAAAGATACTAAATTTTATAAATTTAATTATTTAAATTTATGATATTATTTTAAAGATCATGCATATTAAATTTTAAATAATATAAATATTCATAAATATGTATGTTAATAATAAAAATATATCTATATTTTAAATTGTATATTAAAATTGAAATAAATTATACCTTAAAGAGTTGGTCGAGTGGGCAAATTCCCTTCTCCTCAAAGGTACAGAAGAATTAAAAGTAATGTAATGAAGTATTAGCTAGTCAAAATTATTTATGAAAAATTATAATAAAATAAAATATTAGTTTTGCAAATTTATATTTAATAAAATTATAAAAGTATAATTTAAAAGGAAAAATGAAAAAGGTAAACTATCATAAAATATATACATACACTTAATATTTTAAGCATAATTAAACATTCAGATAAAAATATTTACAATTAGAAATCATGAAAATAATTTCAAAAATTATAATTTTAAAAAATTAAGAATGAAATATTTTTTTTGTTATAAGAATGAAATATTTTATTGTTTGAAAGATAAACTCAAAGATTAAACTAATTTTGGATAAAGTAAATATCTAATTATGTATACAGCGAATCGATTTGAGTTTTTATATGCTGTTTTTATACTTTATATTTTAAGAAATGAATCTGGCTTAAGGACTAATCACTAGCTTGGCCTTCTCTGGGGCTTGATAATCCATTTTGAGAATTTATACCAATCTATTTATTTACAGATACATAATTAATAAAATATAAGTGACAAACTATATATTAGCAATTTGATGTATTTTATTGAATCATCCTATCAGCAATTTATGAGTAATTTTCTCTCTTAATTGATTTTTTTTCCATTTTTATATTTGATTTATGTTATTTTTAAAAATTAAAATATCATTACCATTTCACATTCGTATACGTTTATAATTATTCTTCTTAAATTATTATTGTCGTTACTCGTTACTCAGCTTTTCATGAGTTAGGTTAAAATTCCTTAGCCTGTCTTCTACTTACTTGAATCTTAACATTTCTAGTCTTATGTACAATTCTCTATGTGCCTTATTTAACATCATTTTTTTGGAAAAAAAAATATGGCTTGTTTCGTTCTTTTTCTGTATATTTATTTTTCTTTCTTGACATCATTATTTTTACATAATAATATTTTAATTTGTAAGTTTATGAATAGTAAAATTTGACGTTGTTATTATTATTGTTATTGAATGAGACAATTCAAGAAATCAAAGCTCCTTGTTATTCTTTCTGCTTGTAACAAGGAAAAACAACTAGGCTTCAGACATATCAGTCTATAACACCAAAATCTTTTATGTTTATGTCACAATAGCTTGTACGTGCCACTTTGTCACAATTCAATAACCTTGTATCACTCGCGTTCAAGTTTTATACCCACCCAAATTTGTACTTTTTTATTGTAATTTAGAATATTTTTATTTTATCTATTGAAAATGTTCACTAAATTTTAAATTTTTTAAAAATTTATATACTTATATAAAAAATTTAATTCATAAAACTTAAATTCTTTTAAAAAAATAAATTACTCACTTATAATATTTAATTCAAACACTGTCTGAGTGCTTAAAGATTTTTCTGCGTGCAGAACTTCCTTCTCATCTCTAGCAATAGCCATCTTTTAGATTTCATTAGACCAACTCTTCTGAGCTCATCCAATTACTATTATTATTATTATTATTACTGTAACTAACATTTTTTATTAATAATTAAATTTTAAACTCAAGTGCTAACAAACACATCTTTCATAAAGATTTTAGTTTTATTGCTAATCATCATATTATGAGAAATTATGTTGTATAATGTATTTATATATATATATATATATATAATAATAAAAATATATGATATATTATAGATATAATTATACGAATAATACATCTCTTTATGTGAAGTTGTGAATTTGTTAATAAAGATCGATCATAAAGATTGAATTCGTATTTAACAAAAATATAAGTTTAAATTTTATTATTAATATGAAAACTTGGTTAACAAATAATCTATGAATACTTTTGTAAGTATTCTTTAAATCTTGAATCATATCTTGAAGTTGTTACCTAAACTTTTCTTGTGAAAAAAAAAGGTTGGGAATTTGTTTGATTTGCTGACCCCAATCGAATGCCAGCAGAAGTTGCATTAGCAAGGACAATATAGGACTCACCAATCCCATCAATTTTGGCACTATTAGAAAGCACTAAGAAATTTGAGTAGATATGCACTAAGACTCTGTGTTTTCCTTTTCTCTATGTTTTACAGAATAAAGTGGAAATTATACTTATAAAATTTAAATAATTATATATAATTATTAATTTTTATAATATTTTTAAAAATTATATTCACAATAAATTCTAATTAATTGAACAAAATATTATATATATATATATATATATATATATATATATATATATGAAACGAATTTGTTTGAAAGTTAATCGAAATTTGGTGAGGAAATAATAAAAGTTAGATAAGATAGGTGTTCAAAATCAGATTTTTTTTAAGCTAATGTTGTGAACTTAGATAACTCTATTTTCAAATGGCGTTGGAGATGCTTGGCTCCCTCCAAGGTTTTGGCTTTCACTTTTGGAACTAAAAGATGCTTTTGCTTAAATCGTCTCAAGTTTTGTCTAATCTGTAATTGTTATTCGGATTCATTAATGTTTAGTTTTTAGATTGAAAATATTATTTAAAACCTCATAAACGGTAGAACACTTAGTAGTGTTTGAACAATGACTTGGTTAGCTAACATTTGGTCTATTTGGTTACATAAAAATGAAATAATCTTCAATGGATTGTAGTTGGATCTGGAATTGGTGGTTAATTTCGAAATTTGAAAATTGATAGTATTTTCAATTAGTATGTTAAATTGTATGAAGGCTTTAGTTTTTTTAGTTGACTTTGGAAATTAACTTTATGTGAAGGCTTGGATCATTATGTGTTCCCATTTTTAATAAAACCACTTTTATATATATATATATATATATATATATATATATATTATTAAATTTTTGCATTATTTAACATTTGACCTATATATATATATATATATATATATATATAATTTTAGAAATTTATAAATATGTTATCCAAATTTTAATAATATTTATTTATATTTTAAAAATATATTATACATTAAAATAAAATAATTTTGATGAAATATCATAATAATTTTTATTTTTTATGAAATTTTATAGTATTGATCTATTTAATAAACAAATTAAAATTAATAGTTAGATTAGCTAATTATACTAGGATCAATTATATTAATAGTTAAATAATAAAATAATTTCTATTAAAAAATTTCTCTAAAATTTCATGTTGGATTAAAAGTTTATATTGTTTAAATTAATCTAAAATTATTTCATAATTCATATATATGTGTTATAATTAAAATTAACATAATATATGTTTTTAAAATATAAAAAATAATAATTTTTAATTATATTTTTACAATTTTTAAATTTGAATAACATTTTAAAAAATAATTAAAATAATATATAATTATAATTTAACTACTACATCAATAAAAACCATATTTTACATAAAATTATTAATAGGAAAACTATTGATATATCTTATATTAATGAATGTTATTTAATCCCTTCTCATGTATATCTTTGAACCACTGGT